CTCCTTGACCCGCTGCGCCTACTGGGCACTCATTTCATCGTCATGGTGATTTGGAATTATCAACAAATACATGGCGCATCGCAACAGAACGCTTTCGTTTATTGGGTCTTGTTCACTTTAGCATAAAACGAGCTTCTTAATCAGCCAAGGAGTTGCTGGTCACCCGCCTGGGTAAGTGGGTTTGTCTCCCAGTTTTTTTTTTCTGAGAGGTTCTGCAACCCAAATTATAACTTAAACTGGGTTATACTGAGGGTCTATCCCGATATGGAACAGAAAGAGAAGTTGCAGTCGTGATTGAATCTGTTCCGCTTCAGATGCTCTCCCCAGCAGTTCCACAGGGCTGCCTAATTGCCCTTAATTTTGCTCAGACCTACCACACACTAGAAAAAGACATTGTAAGGAAGAAATGATTGATTCGATACAACAAACAGATTGGAACCCATGTGGAAAAAACCCTTCTCATTACTTTTCTCTCTTTTCTCAATCGCTGGCCGTTTTTCCCCGTAATCAATCTACACATTTCCATAACGCTGGTGCCCTTGAATGGTCTCGACGCCAGGGTTCCAGCAACAGCCGTTTTTGTGCACGGTTTTTGAAACGTTCCCAATCACAACAGATCTAGATCGATAACATCTTATCAGATTTCATCTCTCATTTCCCCCTCACTTTAAAATGAGCAATTCAGTAAAAACGAATGACGATGGCTTTTCAGATGCTGATCTGCTCGTATCGATCGACTGGCGACCACCCATTGGCCGAGTTTCACCTGGTCGAAGAAGCAGAAGCGATAAAATCACCTTCTCTGTCTGCCTGATATGAACATCTGCACGGCTCACTCACAACAATTCATTAGATTTCCATGAACCAGGAATGAAATAGGGGGAGGAAGGAACTGTGAACAGTAGATCTAGCTCTACAGATGTGTGATAAAGGGTAGAGATGTAAGCAGCAGAGACTCCGTGAGTCACGAGGCGAAATCAAATACCGGTAACAGCGAAGAATCGACGACAACAACAACACATACACACGCACAAATACACATTCGATTAGATCATAACTATGGCTGATTCTGGCCCATGTGACCGCGGCCCGGGTGACCTGGGCGTCCCCTATGGGAGATTCACACAACTTCTTTACCAAAGGTGGGTGACGGAGATTCTGAAGACGACTCTCTAATCCCGGAGTCAATTGACGAATTCGACGAGCGATTCTTTGTGGTCATGTAGGCCGGGTCGATTGGACAGCACTCGACCGCCTTGGCAGAGGCGACCACGGCCTCGACCACGTCATCAGAATGCATTGTGGCTGACGCGGTGTAGTGTGCGAACGACGACGGCCCCGTTCTCATCATTTCAGATGGACGTCGTGGCTGAAAGAAATCAACTATTCCCAGAAAAGTGCAGAAGCAGTGCGGTGTGAGCTTACAATTTTCCTGTGTCCAAATCGATTGCTACTTCGTGGAGGGATGGGAATTCTCAGGACGCTGTTCTGCCGTGAGAAGTACTGTGGCTCGCTTTCGCCCACTCGCAAAGTTGTCACAGCTGACATCGACGCCGAGAATTCGTCATCGAATTGATCCTGCAACTAAAATTTGATTAGGTGTTGGTAGCACAGAAGGAGGCTAGCCAATAGTACATACCTCTGAGTCATCCTCGTCGTCCAAACTGGTGTGACTTTGCGTCTTCCTCATGCTCTGTTCCTTCAGCTTTTTCATTTCAGTAATCTGATCGCCTAACGTGAGCAGCTGCTGCAGAAGGGACATGTCGTTTTCCATCAGTGAGAGCTGAAAAGGGCCGAATGAGGTGCTGGTGGCTGTACCGTTGAATTACGTACTGCTTTCACTGGAAGACCATAAGTATCGAAAGAAACGCTCAGTGCTGGGCAATCTTGCAGAGTCCTTCTTAAGCTTCAATTACGAATCTGGATCCAAAATCTTACACAATATAAGCTGGAGATTTCCAAACATTTTCCTATTGTTTTCAAGAGGATTAAGTTCCCTTCAGTTATCCAATCCCAGAATGCGCCGTGCTACCTTAAAAGCTACTGAAATAATTGGAAGCGTGTCAAGTAAAAGCGTATTTTTTAAAGACGAAACTTTGCCATTCCGTCATTTTCAACACAGCTGGTTTTGACATCTGCAGTAGACCGGCGGCTGGACTCCTAAGTATTTCACAAGACTTAAAATTCAGCTTCAGTCACCTCGCGGCCAATTTTCACAATGTTTTCACACACGCTGAACTCCATAAGCGCACATGCTAAAGCAAACGGCAAATTTCCTCTCGAATGATGACCCGTTTGAGGCGGAATTGTCCGTATGAAACACAGCCTCGAGAAAATCAGGTAGAGATGGCAGTGGATGCAGGTATGGAAGAAAAAACCAATGAAGACAGGCCCACAAATCCACGAAAATGGCATCAATTTTTTGCCCCGCTGGATTCCCGCAATGTATCGGCCTTCAACTTGAGTGTTGCCTCTTCAACGCTTTACACTCTCTTGGCTGAAATCGGACCAAAGTCCAAGAGGCAGGAGAGGGTAGGCGGGCAAGTGCGCGAGGTATGCCCCGCGCTCAGGGCACAGTAGGGCACTTTACCTTTAGCTGTCCAACACCACGTATCCGTCGCGGGCCATGCTAATAGCAAATGCTCGCCTAGGCTTTTCAGCTCTCGCTGTATATATTTCGCCGCCTTTGATCCCGAACCCTTATCGGGGACTGCTTTGAATTCTCTACTTACAAAGTCTTTGGTACTCGAGTGGAGGATTTAGAACTTCTGTACGCGGTTCTCCGCACGAAAAGCGCTTTGGATCAGCCTTGCTTCTGTGAGCTGGATCAAAAGTCACACAACTGATTGCGGGGTTTTGAATGGCCTTCCACCCAGACATTGGACTTTGTCCCATGGACAAATCGCAGAGAGGTAGCTTGGTCGTGAAAATGCTCTGTAGTAACCCATAATGACTTGATCTTTCAGATTACATTGGCTACACCTTGGAGAGAAGCTCTTACGCAGCAAAATTATGTGTGACTCCGATGGTTTTCCAAGACAGTATCTATTCTTCTGGATACTGCTCTTATTATGGCAGCTGGCCTTCCTTAATGTAGACGACCACAAAACACGGGACAGCCTTAGTACATGCTGAAGCACTGAATGGGCGTCAACCTCGGCTGGCCGAAAATCAGGCCCGAATGTCAAACAAAGCGGTTCACTACATGCTCTGACACCATAAGCCATTCGCCGTGTTAAGTGGATTATTTTCATCTCAAGGATGCGGACAACTTGATATCATGGCGTCAATGGCCGTGTGATTACCGCTGATAAGCCTCGTTATTCCGAAACGTATTTGGTAAACAACATAAAAAGCTCAGCTCTGACCGTGCTGTACAAGAATAGCGTTTTTTTATGTCAGTCGCGTTTTATGGCGAGAAAAGGAATTAAATTCAAAATGGCACGTAGCGCAGTGGATTAGGGTGCCGTTTGGGTGGGGGGCTCATACGATCGCAGATCACATCCTCTCACACCTCTATATATTAAACCTTGATCAATCAATTGCCCTGTCTTTGTTAGCATAATTGAAAATGCTGACTCGAAATTGGTCTTCATAAAAAGGACAGATATGAAAGGCTTTAAACGCTACTGCGACAGCCAACAAAGGCCACTTGCATGTCGCATTCCGAAGGAAAGGTTTGATCTCCCACATAAACGGCAACTATCAGGAAGGTAGCTTTTTTAGAAGCTTCGAGGTTCAAATACTAGGTTTAGTGATTTTTGTCCCGAAACAGCTTCCCGAAAGGGATATTACTCGTTCTCTCTCGCCCCATTCCCCCATCTGGTCCGATTTAACGGTGACGTGCTAACCCCAGATGCCCTTATAATTCGACGCAGAGGCATCATCGATTGAGCCGACCTTCCACATACGGTACTCGGGAACAGCGAGAGGATCGTGGGTGTCGTGTGTGGTATCGAATCGGATCGTCGATTGAGTAATTGCAGCCAGATGCGGACCATCTGCCACCGAGACCATACCGTATAATGAGGCGATAACCCCTTTAGCACATCCTAAATCAATCGATAAACCCCTAGTTACCCTGGCGCGGTCTCCAGTAGTGGACAAATCCGTGGATAAATATTGCGTAGGAACTACGGGTCACTACGTAGTGGATCGGTCGCCGACTAAACAAACTCCTTAAAAGGGACCGAAATCGGAAGCACGCCGAGCTGTGCTTTGTGCAGGTGCATATGACCAGCTGTTCTGGACACGCATTGTTTCCACTGGGAATCCTTAATCAGCTGTCTAGGATCCACAAAGCGACGGGGGCTATTCGGCAGCCCCGGTCGTTCTCAACCCCCGTTTTCGATAAATCAATTAGCCGCGGTCGCAGTCCGACCTGTCGCTTTGATTTGTCGTCAAAAGCTTGCCATTGTCCGGGCGATTTGTCCAATGAACTCCATAAGTCCACAGCCTGTTGTTGACCAAGACCTAGGGTGGTCTCAAGGAGCCCGTTGATCCATGCCGAGTATTTTGACGGCGTGGTCATGCAAACAAAGCGCAATGTCCCACAAGTTGACGCTAGCCGTTTAGCGCAAGGCAAAACCCGGATGATAAGATATCAGCTGGCCGAGGAGAACGTGTTTTTCCACACGCCAACGACGATGACAACGACTAAAACCCAGCCACCGCCGCCGCCGCAATAGCAACAGTCAGCGCATTTCTCTCATGACGTGCCTTACACAGAATTGGGAAGTGATTACAGCACTGATCATTATCGACTGACTGGGACTGAGGAGATCGGAGAAAAGAGCGCGTGTGGAATGTGCGGAAGGGGCGAAAGCGAGTCACCAGTCAGACTCCACGAACTTGACCCCGTTCCAAGCAGCAGCAGCAGCATTTCTGTGATTGTAATCGCTCACGAAGGAATGCGGTCGACCAGGGAGCGTTTCTCCACTATGGAGACCCTTCCCGGGTGTTCCTAAGGAACCTTGAACCCCCACGAGCACTTCATCTGCCATGAGAACAATGACCTGTTTATGTATGCACGAGGGCCGTGGCGAAGGGTCTCGACGCAGCAGTCGCATCGCAGACCCCACGTGCACTCAGCATGACCCCCGGGGTTCTGGTTGATACACTCGAACCAGTACTCCACCCTGTGGATGGCTTTCGAAAGCCGTTCGTTCACTTCTGGTCTGCCCTCGTCCTCGCAGGGTCGTCTGCTTCTCGAAACGACCATCACTACACACATAAACGTTATCTTTACGTGCCTTACTTTGCCCAAGAACACGACGGCAGATTCGTTTGAAGAATTAGTCATAACGTGCTGATATGAGGGACAAATTCGTCGCAGGACAAGAATAAATATAGGCAAAAGTGAAGATCTTTCAACAAAACAGACCATTAACTCACCATTTTCTCCCGAATCACGTCGAAGGCAGCCGCCGTTCCCCCATGAGAACTGGCGTTGAAAAACCGTTCAGAAGACGTCGCGTCTTCTGCGCAATACGGTGGAGCGGAAATGGGAATCTGAAGCGGAATGTTTCAGCAGAAAATCGCGAATTGTGATGGGTTTACGGGTCATTACCTCGGAGGCCGAGCTCTGATTCTCGTCGTCAATGTTGCAAAAGCTTCGGGCTTTCTTGTAGCGCTCAAGACGCCGTAAACGATTGGCGCACATTGCCCGATATGCATTGAAATCGTCCATTAGGAGGGCTCCTGAAAACGCATAAATACTTCAAACAAGCCGCAAGACATCAAAATAGGAGCACGAGAGACGAGGAAGTACACGGACGCGAGCCACCGTGGCATGCCGGGGAGACACTGCGACTGGCCGTATCGGCACTGCGAACGATAACGAAGCAGACTCGGTGCTGCCCATTGGAAAACTTTGCCCAACTAAGGGATGATACGCTGCCATTGGGTCAGATAAGCAAATTGGGATGGTTTTTGTCAGTGCTTCGGAAGGGCTCATCCTAAAGTGCGCTCAGGCCGCAGCGACGAAATCGCTTATCTAAAGGCCGTTCGGCTATTTCTGGACATGTCAGATTACCCCCCCCCCCATAGTCGCCATATCTATGAATTTCCGTGAACGATAACAAAGCACAGAATTGATGAATTTTAGAAGAAAAAAGAACAGCGAGAAAACTGTCAGTACAGCTGTAATCACATGCGAGTCACGCAAAGCAAATAGGTGATGTTCCCCATGTGGGAGGATGGGACGTGCGCCTGTTTGGCGACCATGATCGCCCAGCCGGACGGTACCTAATCCGTGGGCGTTCGAGTTCAGCGCGCAGCACATAACGGATCTTATATGGAACGGTAATACCCTGTGGAAGAAACAGGGGCAGAAGGGCGGTAAAGACGAAGTTCTCTAGCGGATTCGAGCAGGTTTCGTTCACCAGTGCATGTTCGCAGCGTAATGTCATGGCATGTCACCCCGTGGCCGCCGCCCCTTGCCGTAGGGGCGTTTTCCGCTTATGATTCCACTGATTCGTCGGCTTTCGCATTTGTTCATTCGATCGAAAGAACCTGATAGCTGCCACGGAACTGCTTAACGAGTCGCGGAGCTCCCCCTCCCTGGGAAGTCGAATCGTAAGCCAGCGGTGGCAACGAATTGTGGCCGCGATACGGACGGAATTCGATGACGAGATGATAACTCGACTGATAAGGAAATTTCTCGAAAACGAACTACAACACGTCCAAAGTACAACAGATAGGTAAATCATCGGAAAAAATCAAACGCGACCACAGCCGTTCCGAGGGGGGTCTGGGCTCTGTCGGTGCGCGAGTTCACCGCTGCCGTACAGCCACGCATTTCAATCAAGGGGGAACAATTACCCAAGGTCATTTCAATGTGGTTGGAAAGCCAGCACCCACCCAGCTGGTTGGTGGTCGACTTGCAGACTAAAACCGCGACTGAGAATTGAGACAAATATCTGGCACAATTATGAGTGGAAGAAGAAATCTCTCAGGTTGAAGAGGTTTTTTGATTGAAAGCAATCAACGAGCGAATAACGAGGAACACCAACGCTGCAAAATCACCGTAATTTGACGCAACAGGAGAGAGAAAACGAGCGAAAGAAGAACGGCAGAGCGGACAATACTGGCTACGGAACTTTGCGAACGATGTGAGAGCACAAAAACTGACTCGTAGCCATGGAAACGATGGGGCGGCCAGGCTCAGCCGTGGCGCGGCAGGGCAGAAAAACAGCTGGGCATTAGCCAGAACTCTGCGGAAGTATAGTTTGAAACTATACCAACGGAACCAGAGAATAAGCGAGACATGGTTTATTTTCCAAGAGATGATATGACGAGAATGCTGCCGTCAGTCGTGGGAGGCCACGCCCAATCCTCTCGTACAAAGACGGGAACTGTCGAGGACAATCGTCGACGGGGACGATCATTGCGTTAAAGAAGCATATTGTGATGTCTGGTTATTCGAATTTTCGGACGAGTTGTCTCGCGACAAGAAGTTTCACACTTGACAAAAGGTGAGAGTGGTGACGACGGCTCGGCGCTCAGTGTACGCTTCATACAACGTCTAATACCGCCTTGTCAACTGAGCTGCCTGGTGGCCGAGACTGCAAACAAATCGCTCTTACGAACTGAGTGTGAGAATGAGTGCGAAGGAATACCTACACACAAAGAGACACGGTCGGCGACGGAAGGCCGTCAGGAGGCACAGCTATGATATGGACCGGCGCCGCGGAAGTGGAGCCGGAGGAGCTCAGTCGATTAACTCGGCTTGTTTACCGGCATATGCTTATCTGTGACGCCTCGGTCATGCTGCCATGCAGCTTTTGAAGGGAATATTCAAATCTCGTGCTGGCGTGTGCTATACCACTGCCTTCAACTAAATCAACACTTAAGAAGGACTTTAGTTAGGACGAATTAGGAGCGTTTGCAGTGGAAGCTAAATGGATGAACCATTCGGCATTGTTTTTTGGGACACGCCACGCATTCTATTTCCAATCAGAATCGAGTGACATTCGAATGCGATTTTTTCTATGCAATGAGTTACAGAGGTTAGCCGATCGGGCAGGCCAGTATTTTTGACAGGCAGTGCCTGTGAAAGTGACTCCAGAGAGGTGGAAGGCTTGACTGGCCTGAGCCAAATTTAATCCACTACTAGATCCCCGGTGTGCTAGGCTGCGCCACCCCAGCCTACTTTTCCGTATATTCAACTACAGTAAGCTGATTAGTTTGAAATTAGCTTACTTACTATCCTAACCTTCAATACCGCTCTCAAATCCATAGTACGCTGAAGTTTCAGTTTAGGTGGCCTGATCGTCCGAACCAGTTCCAATAAAGCAAATTTATGGATTCTCCCGGTTACTCGAAGCAATCAGAAGAGATCTCGTTAGTTTCAAAGTTATCTATTTGCCTATTAGTTATTGACTATTACAACTATTACAACCCACTGATAAGTTGAAGAAGAACCGCTCACTATATGGCAAAGAGAGCTACGATTTATAGAGGAAAAAAGGGAGGAAAAGCAGAAAAAAAGGAATGAACCAAAGCAGTTGCATTTGAAAGCGCAGCTAACTGTGCTTGTGGAGCGGATGCATGGCGCATTCCAGCACGGTTCAGGAAACTTGTGCAGGAAACGTGAACTCGTACCTTTATTTTCATGGTGCAATGCAATGTCATGTAAATAAGTAAAATGAATAAGTAAATAAATAATTGGATTACAAAAATTCCATTTCTCCAGAATGCAGTTAGAGGTGCCACATCGCATATCAATAAAACAACCAATTTTTTGGGATCAGAACATTCTCAGTCATTTATCATTTCCTCTCGAACCTTACCCGCTATTTTGGTAGGTAAATTCTTTGACTCTTAAGGGTCAAGGGAAGTTCCTTAAAGAAGCAATCAGCTTTAGAAAACCGACTTACCGAGAGTACCTCCGCATTTTAACCTCCAAACTCCTTACTGGTGGACCAAAAAGTTCTCGTTAGAGAAACTGAGAAGTTAGGGGTGCTGGAGGTTCACAAAACTCCATGAGACATTCTCAGAACTATTGGGATTTCACTCTCTTTAAAGTATTCCCATGACAGTCAAGACCTATTTTCGGAGTCCAAACTGATCGGCGATGGCCACTTGGGCGGCTGCCGACGCCGCCACTAACTAGTCGAGATCTATTGAGGTGAATGTGATTTTACGTTGACCCAGTTCCGTAAACGGCAGTTATTCACTCGTCAATTGAATTATTCGAAACGTCACATAAGAAATTTATATGGCCTTTTATGGCTAAACATAACCGCCAACCACCACAGCCATAATACTACTGGAGCCGAATGTCTTTGTCAACACAAGTGACGAGGTCAATCAAGCTGGACAAATATGTGCTCAACCTGCTTAGCCTCAGCTAATTTCTACTCGAGATAACTACCTACCAACTGTTGAGGAAGGTTATTCACTCGAAAATATACTTATGGTTAGCATGGGCCATAAAGACCACTAAGAGTCAATACCTTCGAGCTCAATAAACTGTACGCACAACAATCCATAGTCATAGGATCAACCCTTCAAATTGTGAATAAATTTCAAATAAGCTATATATTTACAGAAGATTAGGAAAATAAGGTAAAAATCAGGGTAAGAAAGTGACAGCTCCCCTCAATTTTCAGTTAACTCGGTGGATGATTTGATGTCAGTATCGAACCAGCAAAGTACATATTTGGCAGCAGACCCACCAACCACTCCTTGGGTTATTCACAAAAAAGGATCGTGTTTGATAAAAATACATTGCAATTCGGAAAGCGGGGAAGAAAAGAAAACTTGTCGGGATACGGTCGAAAAAGAGAAAACGTTGTTCACGAAATTTGTGGAAATTTCACGAAAATTTCCTGCGTTTCAGCAGTGCTATATAACTGCGATGTGCGGCTTGCGCTGGTTCGTATGTTGGGATTGAAGAGATGGAAAATCTGATCCAAAGTGGATCTGTCAAGTGCTGCCATAGTGAGCACAGCATGGGGATTAGTTGCCCCATTCAAGGAGAGGACTTGCTACAGCCCCACTTGCTCCCAAACTTTTGTCCGTGGTAGACTCTGGGTACCCAGGCTTGAGCTGTAGTGATTCAAGGACTCTGAAAAGCCGTACATAGGGGTATACTCCTATGTACGGCTTGCATCATTATCCCTGAAAACGGCCCCCACACCATTGTTGCGGTTTCGTTTTAGAACTGCGACAGTTTATTGAAGAGGTCAAATTCAAATCAACATGATGATCTGAAACAGTGTTTATGTTTCCTTGTTTATGATTTCCAAAAATTCCTACCCCGAGATGAACTAGTCGCACAAAAAACCGCAAGCCCTTGAAAGTTTTGATTGGCGTTCGCTGATTCTTATCTCTGTCTTGCCGGGCACTGGACTCGATTTGCTTTGGGAGCAGCTCGGAAGCTGATTACGAACGGCACCATCAGCGCGTCCTTGAATTTCGTGGATTCACATTTCACATTGATTATAGCCATAATGACAAGGAAAGCTCGTAAAAAACTGGTTTCGGGCGAGCCTTTGATCGATAGTGACATGGCAAAATGAAGGGGTCGTGTGAGGCTATACACACTCCCTGGTAGGATGGAAGCTTGCACTGAGCCCGGCGTGGGGTGTCCCGAATGGGTGATGGACTGACGACGACGAAGGCAGCTGATCAAATTCCCAATTCTAATGCGATATTGGTGAGATGGCCGTTCTCGGCCACTGT